CAAAACTTCCAGAACACACCCACACAGCCCGGAAGACCCACACCAGCCATCGTATTCCGGCCGTGAAAGCCTTCGACAATTAAAGAAAACAATGTTTAAGACTGGCAGTAAAGCCACTCTGCAGAAAAAAAATACTAACTATCCAACATATTCACTCAATCCTATCCATGAATGTACAAACTGAGAGAATAAAAGGAAATGGGTTGCCTTCCTCTGGAGAATTTCCCTTTCTTCAAGTTACAACATTCTATATGATAGCTGCCAAACTATCCTGCACTTTGGCTCACTGCAACAGGCTATTGCTATAAAACAAATTATGTTACAGATACTTTTAAGCTACTTAATAGGAACAAAATATCTTCTTTTGCAGATGAGCTAAATAGACAAAAGGAAATAAAAATGCTGTGCTATATCTGGATGTGTGGTAGAGAGAAGGATGTATGTGTTTAAAAGGTAGAAAGAAGATGAATATCAGAATGAACAGTCAGTGAATTTATATATAGCATCTTTGACACCATCTTCTTCATTTAGAGTTCTAATAGCTGCATTCAGATGGATAGCTATGAAGGTACTCTAAGCCTTCTCTTTAAGCCTTAGTTTGAAAAAATTCCCCAATCCTTTAGAAAATGTACAGAAATTATGCAAAACTTATTTTGTATTTGGTATATCACCTATTAGACATAGATAATAACTTTACTATAGGCAAACATAGTTTTAGTCTATTCCATGTGGAAACATATAGTACCTTCTACTTTTTAGCTGTTTTCTTTGCTCATAATCAGGATTCAAAAATACTTATGAACACTTATTAAAATACAAACATTTATTTACCTTACCTCTGATCTTTTTTTATAATAATTTTATTACAGTTTAAAAATGCAGAGATAAAAAACTAATATGAACTAAGAAAAACATAAAAAGAAACAAGAAACAATAAAAAGTGAAAAGAAGAAAAGAAAAATATATAAAAAGAATATATAAAGAAATGACTTCCGCCTTCATCAAGACAGATACAAACAATTTCAGTAACTTATCACCTTCTCTAGCATTTCAACCAAAGATCTCTTCATCCTATATCTCATCTTTTATCTATTAGTAAATAATAAAACTTTATCATTCAATATTAATCAGCAAAAGCCCATTATAAGTTACCAGAAATAATATATATAACATTAAACAAGTAAATCAATTTCATTTCATTTCCTTTACACAGTAACTTATCATTTTCTCTAAAAATACAACAGAAAAAAATCTTCTTCCCATATTTTATCTTATATCTATAAGTAAACCTTCATTTCATTTCCTTTACACAGTAACTTATCATTTTCTCTAAAAATACAACAGAAAAAAATCTTCTTCCCATATTTTATCTTATATCTATAAGTAAACCAATATATATAACATTAAACAAGTAAATCAATTTCATTTCATTTCCTTTACACAGTAACTTATCATTTTCTCTAAAAATACAACAGAAAAAAATCTTCTTCCCATATTTTATCTTATATCTATAAGTAAACCCATAAAAGCTCGTTGTTCAAACTTAATAAAAAAAATTCCATTAAGAGCTACCAGAAAATCTTAATCTTTAAACCCTTAAAATAATATCTCACAAATTAATTTATCATTTTCTCTTCATCTCCTCTCAGAAATTCCTTCAAAATTTAACACTTTCTTTCAATTTTAATATCATAACCCCATCACTTTCTCTAATCATACAACAAAAAAAATCTTCTCCCCATATCTTATCCAACAACAAATCTTTAAGGCCTCATCATTCAGTCCTGGTCAAGAAAAATCCATTAAAAACTACTAAAAGAAAAAACATCATATATTTTAACCTTGATCAAGCAAACTGATGTTATAATCCTTCTTTTTGGTTTTAAAAGCCTTGACGTTTATTCGTTTTAAGTAATGTCCCAAAAGCTGATTTCTTTTCATTCTCTATCTTTTATCAGAAACTCCTTCATAAGTGTAATACATCTCTTTTCTAAGTCCAAAATAAGAAAGTTGTCTAAGTCACTCTTCTGCATTGAGATCCACACATCCAAGTCACTCTTCTGATTTATTATTTGTATGTTCCTTTTAGCTATTAAAACATCAGCCGGTTTCATTTGTAAGTCCTGTGTAGCATTTTTGTCAATATTATTCTTGTATTCTATCATTTTAAAACCCATATCCAAAACAGCCTGATTCTCAATTGTATCCTCTTCTATCTCTTCAAAACCCATTTTTATAGTATCAGACAATCTTAAGAGAAAGCTCAGAATACATTGTTGCCAAATATTCTTGAAATCTTCCAGAGTTAAAATATGTTTCTCCATTCTGTATTAGTGGGTCTTCTCCTTTAATTGTTATCTTTAGTTCTTTCTGATTGCCTCTAGTAGCCAGTCTTCAAGGTTTCCTTTTATCATGTTTTTCTCTATCCACACTATTTTCCCATGAAAAGATTTCTTACACTTAACTTCAAGATCTTCATATATTTTAATAGGATTTTAAACAAACCACAGAAAGGATTCTTATAGTTAATGTCAAAATCTTATTTCCAGTCAATCTAGCCCCTTAGTCCATTTAGAACTTTCCAAAATCAATGTTCTAATCACCCTTTTGCTGCTTATTTCCAAATAATTTTTTTCTTTAAGTTCTTAAACTTACATGAAATTTCTCTTGTTGAGGATTGAAGGAAATTTCTCTTGTTGAGGATTGAAGGAAATCACCCAGTGAAATAAAACTTGTCTTTCTGAAGTTCTTAGTATCCAAAAAGCAATTTACGAGCAATTTTCAGAAGTGATTAAGAAAGGAAGTGGTCTCTTTGAAGGCTCTGAAAGCGGCTCAAGCAAGTTGACACTCTCGGGTCCCAGAGCTATTAAACCCACTGGAGACCACTGTTTTGTAGTCTCATCACGGGGAGCCTCTGTAAGGAGCTTTATGGGCGATCCCAAGTCCTCCCCTTTGTCCGGGGATGAATTTTGAAGCACCAATCTGTTCGTTGACTCATTATTCTGCCGTGGTCATCAGCTCCACTAAAAGCAAAGCCGTCTTCAGTTCGCCATTGCTTCCCCAGAAGTCCCTTACCTCTGATCTCTTGATTGTAGTGTCTCTTCCCCAATTAATTTTGGCCTCTGGATTTGCTGCACCCGAATCATTTGCAGTAATTGATCAGCTTCACAATCTGGTAAGTCGCCTTTTACAACAAATATTGAATAACCTGTGGAAGATAAAAGCATATGAACAGATTATGAAGGAAGATGATGTAACAATTAATATAAAAAAACCAGGGATTAACAGTGGGATGGGTACAAATGGATAGGAAAATCCTCTTTATAAATATTGGCCAATTTGGTTACCCATTCTGCATACCTCAGTCAAACAACAGAGGAAAACAGTTTACTTAGATGAATACTACAACCAATTTTCTTGCATTCAAATAACAGTGTTCAGCATCTGAAAATTAGCATTACCTTCCTGTTGTAGCTGGGCCAGGAAAAGTGCAAGGTAAGTATCAGATATTAGTTCTGGACCGGTCAAGAGAGAGTTCAAGTTGAACCACTGTTCAAAGCAAAGGAAGAAAATTAACACGCAGTATGATCATTAATTTATTTTCATACATAGCAAAACATCTAGCCATTGTTAAAAGAATTGTTAAGTGAAATATACATGCAAATCAATTTAAAATTTAAATTAATGAACTATTTTGTATTAATTACTACACCATGGAATAGTATTATTTGTATATATTTGACTGCTTGCAAGTAGCTTGTAAGATAAAAAACTCGTAGTTTCTTCTAGTCATTTTTAGAGACTATATGCAAGTTAAATGGAAGCATTAGCATTTAGTTATAGGAACAAAAGTTAGGCTGTAATCAAAGGAGTGCCATGCATATGTGACAGGAAACTGCACACATTATAGTTTCTGCTGAGGAAACATCTACTGCGAGGCAAAAGTCTGATTTAAAATCAGAAAAACTGATGAATCAGAAATGTCAAGCAAAAAATCTGGCTGCTGCTATCTAGTACTCATTAACATAAAAGTCATCTATAACATTCTATATCAGTTCCAGCTTCAGAATGGAAATAGGAACAAACCAGCTCTGGGAAACAACAGTTCCCCTTCCCATCTTAAAATCTGAATTTTTGAATAATGTCAAAATGAGGCCATTTTGCCAATTAACG